TTTAATGAGTAAACAATGTTTTTATCTTCTGAATTACAAAAGGTATCGTGTGCGTGTGCACCACCTGTCCAGAATATTTTTTTTTAACTAATTTATCAAAGCCAAAAAATAATAATTAACTCACTAAATATGTTTCAAATTGAAAAAAGTTTCAACTTTACTCATTAAATGAGAAAGTGAAGGAGACAGAAAAATATACTTACATTTAAGTATTAATTGCAGAGATACAATTAACAAATAAGCATTAATTACTCTCTATGTAATTTATATTTTAAATCAAACTATTTTTTTAGAAGCGGTTTATATCATGACTAGAGAAAATAAAAGATATTGTGTGTCTAAACATTGTTTAAAGGACTAGAGAGCAAACCAGAAAAGCAGCATAGCGGGAAAAAATGGTTGTCAAGGTGACCTGGGGATGTGCGTGAGTAGGATTGGGCCGATGATGGCCCAATAGATGTCTTCAGTGGACCAATGCGCCTCGAGACCAGGGTGTAACTTGATTGGCTCAGTGTTAGAACCCGGCTTGATCTCTTGTGATGGGAATAGACCTAATTAACAAAGAAGTCATGTGCGCAAAACATTAGAAAAGTAAATAATAATAATAATAATAATAATAATAATAATAATAATAATAATAATAATAATAATAATAGTAGTAGTAGCAGTAGTAGTCCTAATAATGAGGGTTAATATCATCTTTAATCCCTAAAATTTGATCTTATTTTGGTTTTGATCACTAAAATTTGAAAATAGTGATTTTGATTCTAGAAATTTAACCTCATTTAAGACTACCTAAAGAATTTTAGTCCTAAGAAGTGTTTTTTTAGTTAGTGACCAATACTAAAATACTAAAATAAGAACTAAATTTAAGACCACTGGTTTCAAAGTTCAAAGACAAATACTAAAATCAAATCAAATTTCAAGAACTAAATATGATTTTAACCCTAACAATACTACACTCACACCTTCATGTTTATTTTTGCAAACACGTAAATTCTATTCCAAAGAACAAAAATCACATTCACACCAATAAAAGGCAGAAATAAATTTGACCAGATTTTAAAAAGGGTTTTTAATCGTAAAATATAAATCATAAAACAATTTATAGAAGTTAACTATGATTAAAATTATGCTAAAGTATTAAAACGCTAACATGGTTGCCAAAAGTTTAACTTTTTTTCTGGTCATAAAAAATTTAGGTGAATTAGGTCTCGAGAGCTTATAAAGGTCAAAACATGTCTTTTAAGTTCAGAAAACTTAATTCAAAAGTTTGACTTAATTCAAAAACAACATAAAAGACTTAAAGCACACAAACAAGCCCCCCAAGCCCGCCAACAATCGTTGTCACAAGACTTCAGGCATAAAAACAATAAAAGAACTAAATTCAGCCCATTTGTCCCACCTCTTCAAGCGATCATTTAACCGGAACACGATGTGAATAAAGAGCATCATATAATGGATTATGCAAAAGTACATTTTTCATTTTTAACTTCTGACAAGGTTTTTTTATCTCTAATCTTACAAAGTATATTTAAAATTTTTCAGTCCTAACATTAACATAAAATGATGATATTAAAATTTTAGATGTTACTAAAATATCCTCAAATGTCAGGATCATAAGTTTAATTTTGTAAATAATTTATAAAAACCATCATTTGAGACAAAGAGTGTTAAGAGTTAAAAAAAAAAAAAAACTTTATAAAATTAACAAAGCAGAATATTAAGATCAAGTTGGCATGTTAACACATCCCTTTCACGTGAATTATACATATACAAAGAGACATTTGTGAGGACGGCAAAATAAAAAAAAATTATAGTATAGATTTTTCTTTTTTATTTTGGTAAAAGTAGCATGGATTGTTATTTTATCATTCTTTACCAACGGAATGAATTGAAGCACTCATCATATTCGAGTTGAATTCCCGTTGCCTCATAATTAAAATAAACATAAAGAAGATATTTAGCTAGTCATGAAAAGACGAGTTAAGGTTGGTGTTTTGTCTACCTATCAAGGTAGGAGTTATTCTAGCCCGTGTCACGTAACTCGTAGGTTAGAATGAGCGAGCGAGCTTATAGGTTAGCAAGCTTACCTGCCTAACTTCTTCTTTTCATCTTAAGCTCTCGGGAGAAAGGCATCCAGAGAGACAATAGAATAGCATTGAACACGCATCCAGCACCTGGGGTCACTGCCATAAAACTAGCGATTTGGGACGTAGACTGCAACCCCTACTCCACAAAACTAGCGATTTGGGACGTAGACTGCAACCCCTACTCCACAACGAGCGAAGAGACAATCCGCTCCTATGTATGTTGAATGTTGTGGATGTTTTCTTGAATTATGTAATAATTCAATTAAGCTTTAATTTGCCTAATCTTTAGATATGAAAAGCATATTTTTTTTTTTGGTCTATTATTATTTTTAAATAAATAGGGAATTTTCTAGATCATATGTGATTTTAAAAAAAATTCAAATCACCCACAATCTAGATAAACGCACCTTTTTTATTTTCTAAAAAAGCACACTTTCTGCACCGATTGCCTCTATAACTAGTGTAGAAAGTGTTATTAATGTATGGGAAAAATAATAATAAAATATTCATTGAATTTTAAAGTGAAAAATTAGTAATTTTGATAAATTTTAACTTATTAAAACCATTACAAGAGTAATTAGTATGTTCTATTTGTCCCTTTGAAATTTAATAAATATTTTTCTGTCATTTTTCTAATATTTTTTTTAGTTTTATTTTTTTTTACACGTTAAAGTCACTTCTTACCCCCTTGTATAATCAATAGAGTTGTCAATATGAAAAAAATGAAAATTTCACAAAAATTCCATTTAAAATGGGATAGGACACTCTCAATAGAATAAGATCAAACACAATGGCATAGATTGTAATTCACAATAACTCAATTCTTTTTCAATAAAAAAAAAAAGTACTCCTCCGGTCCTTAATATAGGACCTAATTGTTGAGTTGGTTTTGGTCTTAAATATAAGACCCATTTCTTATATTTGTCAATTTTTCTAAATTACCTCCATGAATACTCCCTCAACTATAATCAAGTAGAAGAGGGAGAGGGGGTATTAAGAAAGATGATTATGGTGTTTTAGGAAAAATGTGTCACATTTCTTATAATTAACTAACTTACCTAACTTCCTTAATCTAATCAAATTAGTTAAATGGGTCTTATATTAAGGACCGGAGGAGTATTACTTTAGAAAGCATTGGGATGAACCGAGCATCTTCGGCTATTCGGCTAGAGTTTATTAATCCATCCAAGACGTAGAATGAGATTCAGTATATATTCACGCAAGACTAAGGACCCAAATTAACAATTTTTGGCCTAAGGCATAGCTATGTTGCCATTTTTATTTCTTGAACACATGACTCCTCACAACTATTATGCAGATTGATTTTCATGTGATAGGCTTGTCATGAAGGGGTCACTCATAGGGTCAAACTCTTTAGAATTGTTGATAGTCGTGAGATTCTAGTGCAACATATAGTAGAAAATTGAATGGGATTCAAGATTTAGTACACAGTAGTACTAATGAAATCTTTCTAATAAGCCCCAAGCGTAAAGCTACGCTCTCGCTAGTTTCATTTCTCACAATGCTTATGATGATTAGGTACTTTCTTCTGCATTTACCTAATAAATATCTTTAATATATGAATTAATTATAGATTTAATTTAGTCATATAAAGATAAGATCCTAATCTATTTTGGCTTTTATATTTGTCCAATTTGCTTCCAATAATCCTTATTGTGCTTGTATTTGTTAAGAGATTTCCATCAAAAGTAGTCCTAATGTACATGATTAATAAGAGTATTTTGGAGAAAGCCACTCCATTTATTACAAGTAATTAACTTAACTAATCTTTTTAATGTTTACAAATTAATCATCTAGCTCTTATGTTATGAATCAGACATAATATATTTGGCTTTTCAAATTTTGTCATGGGTAATCGGTGGAGCTGGCTACTTTTTTACTTTGAGACTAAAATGTACATATGAGTAAGCTGTGGCCTATATACTTGCAAGAATGGCCTATATCATATGCTTATTTCTTCTATTTGATACGTTAAAGCGGGATAATAACAATTACTTTGGGCCCAATAATAACGAAGGCCATACTTTTGGCCTCCTTCATCTTCAAGGAAAAGAACGCCCAAATCAAAGCACATATGGATGACCCAGAATGAACCAACAATGTTTCCAATGAACAATAAATAAAAAAAAAGCGCAAAGTTAGTCAAATTACACAGAGATCAATTGTCAAATCATCATCATCATCATCATCATCATCATCATCATCTTCTTCTTCTTCTTCTTCTTCTTCTTCTTCTTTAATTAGATAATCCAATAAACAAATCTAATCTAAATGCAAAGGAATGCACTGATCAAGTTTCACTAGATGTGCCTTTAATCCAGCTAATTGACAGAACAAGAACAGAACATATTCATATGAAGGAAATCGATCGTTACGAGATTAATATCACAGCGGATTTTACTGATTTTGTTTGATTTAGTTTTACTTGATCTCTAAAACTAATCATAATGAACAATGTATGCATCAAAGAACGTCAAAATCCACATTGGCCTGGAAAATTAACCCTTTGTGGCCTCTGGCATAGCTCAATAATTTCTTAATTTTTATTAATAATGTCTCTTATTCTTTAAATTTTGTCATGTCTAACAGGTGGAGCTCACCACTACTTACTTTGAGACTAGAATGCACACATGAGGAATTCACTTGGGAGAAAACCTGAAAAAGAATGGTAAAGAAAGAAAGAATTCACTCGCTACATATATTTGAAAGAACAACTTCTTATAATATAGAAGATAGTTAGTGTCTCTTCGATGAACCACCATCTTTTATTCAGGAGGAGACATTTGGTGAAAGAGACTAATTGACTCTGGTTGTAATTTTTGTTTAGTTTTTTTTTTTTTTTTGATACGCTGGAAAGGACAAAAACTAAAAAACTAGAAATGAAAGTTAGTCTCCCGTGTCCTCATGCAGAATCTGTTCCATAGCTGTTGGACCGAAGAGTTGCAAGCCATAAGCAGCTGACAGTCCACGTTTCGCGAGTTTATCCGCCCTTCTGTTGCTGTCTCTTTCAATATAAAGAAGAGAGACTTTCCAATCACGCTGCATCATCTCCTGTATTTCACTGATCAGGCTGCTACTCTCGTGGAGCTCAGGAGCGCCATTTTGACATAAAGATAGCATTTCTTGGGAATCACTTTTGAGCAGAATATTCTTGAATCCTCCATCCCAGGCTCTCTTGAGCCCCATAAGACATCCCCATATTTCCGACGTGAGTGCATCTCCCGTAAGGAGTCTGAACTGGAATCCTTCCATAACCGTGCCGACGCTATCTAATATAAGACCACCGCAAGCTACGTTATGATTTGTGTGGGACTAAGCTCCATCAACCTCAACATAGGCATCGTAGTCCTCCTGCGTCTGAGACGTAGGAACCTGAATAGTATGACGATTGTCTAAATTCACTTTTTTCAGTTTGAGGTGGGCATCTACCATGCTACGCATAATGGCCTCAGCCTTGGCAAGGGTGGTGTGAATATCAGTGTCACCGTCATTGTGTATCATTTCATTTCGGTCTCGCCATATCGGCCAACAAACTATAATGAACAAACCGTTCCAATGCTCTTCCTTAATGCCAATTTTCTTCTTCATATTCAAGCGAAACCAATCCTGCATATTGCTGCCAAAGAATAATGCGTGTTGGGCAGGTTTGGTAGCAGATTCCCAAAAAAGTTTAACCTCTTTACAGTCTCTAAGAGCATGGAGATTGTCCTCAGCACTGACTTTGCATCTGTCACAGATTCCTGTAGGGTGTAGGTTCCGTTTGTGCTTGTGTTTATTCGTTGTGAGACGTTCATGAAGCATGAGCCAGGCAAAAACTTTACATCGTTGCGGGATTTTCAAGCTCCAAATGTCTTGCCATCGCACCTGTGGGATTTCAGAGGTTGGGCTTAGGGAGTTATAAGCAGAGCGCACGGTGAAATTCCCATTCTTCTCCCATTTCCATCGTGCACACGGCGTGCCATCTCTGTTGGTAGTAAATATAACACTGTCAGAGACTTTATCCCAGTTCCTTTTGATGCCACTCCACACGTTTGAACTGGGTTTCGATGTGTTAATATGAGGAAGAAGGTCATTACCGCAACCATATTTTGCCCGGATCACCCAAGCCCAAAGGGAGTGTCTATCATTTATTAGACCCCAACCAAGCTTCATCATAAAGGCTTGATTTTGTTGTTTAATGTGTTTCATGCCAAGGCCTCCAGCTTTCTTTGCTGTGCAAACTTTATCCCAAAAGATGAGATGCATCTTCCTTCTTTCATCGGAGGACCCCATAGGAAGTTGTTAGGATTATGGTTTTGATGATAACAAAGTTAGATTAATTGGGTTAAGTATGTTGATTGATCATCTGATCAATCAAATGATTATCGATAAGCTATCAGATAACTGTTCAGTATAAATCAGTTTTATATTAAGTATTTTAATCGAAGAGCTATTCGATAAGTTGTTGATCGATAAAATGATCGATTATCGATAACATGGAAGTTACATAAGGTTACAGTTAATTATTGATCACTTGATCGATAACATCAGGTAAACGAACAGGTAACAGACAAAGAGAACCAAATCTGAAGTGCATTTATCGATCACATGATCGATAAATCAATTATCAATAACGACTTCGATAAGAGGTAACACACTCTACTCGGTCTGCACATTAATTCTGTCATCATTTATCCATCATATTATCGATCACTTGTTTATCGATCATATGATCGAACATTATGCTCTAACTCTCTGAATGCAGGTACTCATCATAGCTGCTGAATCGATAACCTTATCGATCACTAAGTTATCGATCACATGATCGATAATCAATGTTTTATCTGCTCATACTTAGTTTCTCTACAACCAAATTATCGATAACATTATCGATAATTTAACTTGTCTGCATAGTATCTTTTCACATAACATGATCGATAAGGAGTCTCAGGATTATTATCTTCACTGCATTAACTTATGTTGAATCATTTTTTTCGATCACCTAATCGATCATTGATTTATCGATAATATGATCGATCATCCGATTTCCTGAAACTCATGTTTTCACATAACGTGATCGATAATCAGTTTCTTTATTAAATCCCTGTTTTTCATTTTATCGATCACTTGATCGAATATTCATTGATCGATCACCTGTTCGATTAATCCATATAGTCTGTGTTTTTTCGCTGAATATATTCTTACTCATTGTTTATCGATAACCTTATCCATCATCCATTTATCGATAATCTGTTAGATCATTAATGACTGAAGTTTCATTTCTGTAACACTTGGATTATCGATAATCTGTTCGATCAACAAGTGTTCGATCACTTGTTCGATCATGGAACGATTTCCATTTCAACATCAGTCAACTATGATGATTCTTAAAATCAATGATCCAACACTTGATCGATAATCATGTTGAACTGATTCAAAAGCTTTCCCTCTATTTATCGATAAGCTGATCGATCAACAAGTAATCAATCACCACTTCGATTAAGCATGTCCAGGATCTCTTTCTGCTCTTTTTATAGATAAATCATTTCATCTAGAATCATTGTATAATCGATTCATTTTTCTTCTTAGTTCATGACTAAAGCATACACCGCAAGACTCTTACTTGTTCAAAGTTTAAAATATGCAGATTACTAAGAAAGACTGCAACGGCTCTTCAACGGGATTATGTAAACTGCAACCTACAGTGTCAGAAGCTCAGACACATTAATGGCAGAACCGTTGAAACTGGCGAAACACGCAAACGGAGTCACAACGGCTAGAAGCTCTTCTGTCTAACGGCTACTTAACGATCTCAACTATAAAAGGCGCGAAGAAGCATTAATGAATTGAATTGAATACTGGAACTACCATCTGTGATTATTAAGTCTAGCATTCAATACTCTGTTTCTTCAATACTACTGAGCGTCAGTGTTCATCATTAATTTTACTCTGTAAGAGAGTCGATAACTATCCTTCATTAATTACTATTGAGTGATACTCAAGAGTGTGGACTCTTGAGAGGGCTTGTATCCTTACGGGAGTAAGGGGGAGTGATTGAGTGATTCAATTACTGTACCGAGGCACCAAGAGCCCTATCGATCTTGGAAGATAGTGAAATACTCAGAGGTGTTCTGAGGACTAGACGTAGGTCAAGTGGTTAAGACCGAACCAGTATAAATCTTGTGTCTTCCTTCTGCGGTGAAATCGCTCTTAACTCTAACTCTCTGTTTTCTATACTGTCTCGTTTTAATTTCGCAATTTTTTTAACTCATCCAATTCACCCCCCTCTTGGGTGAGATTGATTCTAACAGAAGTCTCTTGCTTTCTTTTCAATTTCATCACATGTTGCCACCGGGAGGTTAGCAGTTTGCATAGAGTAAACCGGAAGAGCCGCAATCACAGATTTCGCTAACATGTTACGTCTAGCGAGCGAGATGTGAGAAACCTGCCAATTGTTGAGTCTACTACGGACTTTATCTAACACAAAACTGTATGTAGAAGTTGTGACCCGATCATGGTGTAAGGGAGCTCCTAAATATTTGCCGAGGTTACTCGTACTTGTCAATCCAAGAGCTTCGCTTATTTGAGTAGTTCTAGCATGATTGATGTTCCTGGAGAAGAAAACTCTGGTTTTGCCAATGTTAACTTTCTGCCCGGATGCCTCACAGAAACTGTCAAGGCACTTCTTGATAACCTTGACTTGATCCATGTTTGCTTCTGCAAAGAGTAGTAAATCATCAGCAAAAAATAAATATGAAATGGGAGGGCCCTCTTTACCTAGCCGAATTGGTTTCCAGTGTTTGTCATACATCTCCTTTTGAATAATGTGGGCTAATTTTTCCATGCAAATGACGAAAAGGTAGGGGGAGAGAGGGTCCCCTTTTCTTAGGCCTCGTTTAGGTGAGAATTGTTCGGCCTTACTCCCTTACCAGAGAATCTGCATGGAAGGAGAGGCAATACAAGCATAAATCACATCATTAAGAAAGCAAGGGAAGCCAAGTTCATATAAACATTGCATAACGAAACTCCATCTGATACGATCATAGGCTTTCTCCAAGTCAATTTTGAGAGCCATGAAGCCTCTTTTCCCTGTCATATTCCTCATAGAGTGAATAACTTCTTGGGCAACAATAATATTATCAGAGCTCGTTCTTCCCGGGACAAAGCTGCATTGGTTCGGAGATATAACCTGTGGGAGGAGAGTTTTAACACGATTAGCAATAATCTTAGTAATAGTCTTATAAATAACATTGCATAAACTTATAGGTCGAAAATCACGAATGGTTTCCGGATACTCCCTTTTCGGAATGAGGACCAGAAAGGTCTGGTTTAGATTCTGAATGGAAGCCAGATCGGCAACGGCCGCTTTCACCACTTGATTAACAGACGGCGCTATAGTATCCCATTGGTTTTGAAAAAATAGAGCATTGAGTCCATCAGGACCTAGAGCCTTCAAAGCGCCCATTTGAAATATAGCAGACCGGACTTCATCTGAATTAATCTCTCGTTCTAGCTCAGAAATTTCAGTTGACTTAAGGCGAGGAAAAGAGCCACAATCTAGCAGTCGAGCAGGAGCATAATCGTTAGTACTAAAAAGGCCCATGAAGAAATTGGTAGCAATTTGTTTTATTTCCGTGACATCATCCGTCCATTCATCTCTGTCATTTTTAATAGCTTCAATTTTATTTCTTCTTCTTCGACCATTAGCGCGCGCATGGAAGTACTTGGAATTTTTATCTCCCAACGAGTACCACTGAGATTTTGCTTTCTGTGCCCACATAAGGTCCTCTTTAAGAAGAATTTTCTCCAATTCAAGCCAAAGTTCCTTGTGTAGTTGATCAATAGAGGAGGAAAAATTTGAGGAGCCATAGTGATTACTGATGCCTTCGAGTCTCCCCATAATACGGCTTTTCATCCTTCCGAGATGGCCAAAGACATTGTAACTCCAGCTACTAACCTCCTTCGTAAAAGTTTTAACGTTCTCTTCCCAGGAGGCTGAAGAATCCCAAGAAGTATTAACCATTCTAGGAAAGTCATCATAAAGGACCCAAGACGCCACAAATCTGAATGGTCGCTCCTGTTTCTTTTGTGAGAATGAAACACAGATGTAGTGAAGAGAACTGGTCGATGGTCTGAGTTGAACCATGGCAAGTGCTTAACTGAAGCATCAATATACGTCTCCTTGAAGGGGTTGTTTGCAACAATTCGATCTAGATGACTTTCACATCCCTCCCTTTTCCAAGTGTAAAGAGGGTCATTGCACCCTAGGTCGT